AGGGAGTGGCCTCGGCTCTCCTGACGCCGGGCAGTCAGGCAGGGGGGAGGCGACCTTGTTTTCACGGAAGTCTTGCGCGTGGAAGCTTGCCTTCTGCATCCTCTTCGCATGGTGAACCCGTGAAGTCTACCCTATATTCCATAAAATGGGCCGCTTGCAATCATACTTTCTCACGTTAAACTTCTTTTCTGATCGCCATTATGCAGGTGGAGCCCAACGTGGCATGGCTCAAAGATGGAACGCCCCTCCATTTCGGTCTCTGTGTGTGGAGCACGGGAGTCAAAGCCACCCCCCTTGTCCAGGCCCTGCCTCCCTCCTTTCCCAAAGGCCCAGGGGGCCGTCTCCTGGTTGATGGACGCCTCCGTCTCCAAGGCCACGATCAGAAAGGTGTTTTTGCGGTCGGTGATTGTGCAATATCTGAAACAAGGCCCTTGCCGTGTCTGGCGCAGGTAGCGCAGCAACAAGCCAAGTATTTGGGCGGAGTGTTGAACAAATATTCGGAGCCGCATGTGAACAAAGAAGTGCCCCCATTCGAGTATCGGCATCTGGGGAGCATGGCACAGTTGGGCATGTGGAAAGGGGTGGTTGATTCGGCGAAATTAGACGATAAAAAAGGGGACGAGGATGGCAAGAAAAGTGTGCTGACGGGTTGGACGGCTTTCCTACTCTGGCGTGCGGCGTATTGGACGAAAAGTGTCTCATGGGCGAACAAGATTCTTATCCCCATGTACTGGTTAAAAAGCTGGATATTTGGACGAGATATTTCCCGATTCTGATTCTGGGAGATGGGCAAATAGGAAAATATTGATGAAAATGATAATTTTACGTTCAAGAGATATTTTGATGGCCTGTTGCATAAAATCAAGAATCCCTCAAAGTGACTGCTAGATGGGTGTGGGTCTTGGTGTTTTTGATGTAGTTTCAGTACGTATGGAAATAAAGATATGGCCGCCTGGACCACCGAAAAAATAGCAGCCACTGATCGCACTTGTCAAATTGTTTACATTTACGTGTGACCGTCTCTCTGTCTCGCGCCCATCGGTACCCCTAAATAATTCGCTCGCACCTACGAAGTCCATGTCCGTTCCCCCCCATGCCATGGATGGTACAACCTGCAGAGCGTCAAATCTCTACTGATGTCATCCTTGATGGCATCGGACAAAGTGATGGGACAGAAAACCACTGTCCGCGTCCTTTTGTCGAGATCTAGCAATATTTCGGACTCGCATTGAATCCTCGTGGAACAATGTGTTCTTGAAGAACACGTCTCCGTCTTGGGCGAGAAAATATCCCCGACGACGAGCCAAGACAACCAAGTACACCATGTGAAAGCCACCCAGTCGCGTTTGCGTCCATTTTCAGCAACTCTCACATGTATCCTTGTAAATAATGCCAGGAGTGCTACCTGTGTTCATAACCTGAAAATACCTTTCTCTGAGAGTCTCCAAAAAAATATCTGAATCTCCTCTGACTCGAAATGGCCCTAAATCTCTTCCGACCTGCACCACACAGATTTTCATCTTACCACCATCAACATCATGCCGACTCTTGACGAGCGCTTAGCTGCCATGGATATGGACAAAAGTGCCGACGATGGGCCCCATCTCATGTCGCGACAGTCCACCATCGCCCACCCCCTGGAGGCGACGTATGGATACAGGTAAGACAAAGTTAAAAAATAAAACATCCGTTGGACGTACAGTAATCGATGCGCCTGACAATAATTTATGGGCTATGATGCGCGTTGCGTCGTTTGGTTCTCGGGAAACCTAAGGATTGGGATATGGCAAAGAGTCTTCTAGGTGCTGCTGCTCACTTGCAACCCTCCACGTCCGACTGAACTCTTTCTTCAGTTTTGGCTACGCGTACTGCGCTCGAACCATGCGGAAATCTGTTCCTAAGTACCGCATGCCTGATGCTCCTTTGCCCGCCAACGTGGTGAAGACCTTGATTGACGATGAGATGGTCCTGGATGGGACGCCACGCATGAATCTGGCCACGTTTGTGACGACGTACATGGAGAAGGAATGCGAGGACCTCATGATGGAGGCCGCCAGGAAGAATTATATCGGTGAGGGGGGCATCTTTGGTGGCTAAACATTTGTTTTGGAGGACTCAAATGGGTGGGAGACATGGCCCCCCTGCACTCGCGAGCCACAACCTTTAATCCTTTGCACCACGACAGATATTGACGAGTACCCTCAAACGTACGAGATCCAGAAGCGGTGCGTGAACATTCTTTCGCACCTCTGGAACGCACCTTTGGGAGCGGAGGAAGGTGAGAAGGGAGGGAGGGGGGAAGGGAGGCAGGAAAGGAGAGAGATAGGGAGGGAGGAATGAGAAATGAGAGCGCAGAGCGCGGGTCAAATCCATCGAGATGGATGAAAGCGCGCAGAAAGGGTGTTCATTACCTCTGCAGTGTTATCTTGAAAGGGGCAGGAGGAGGGGAGGAAGGTCAGTGGGATCGTGTGGCTCGATCTCAAGAGGTTGAAGCGTCTTGGCCCAGACGTTGGAGACCGGGCGCAAGGTCTCAGAATCCGAGCATTCCCCCACAGAGGGCACGGGCACGTCCACGGTGGGCTCGTCCGAGGCCATTATGTTGGCGGTCCTCAACATGAAATGGGCCTGGCGAAAGAAGCGCATCGCACAGGGGAAACCGCATGACAAGCCGAATTTGGTAGGGAGGGAGGGAAGGAGGGAAGGAGGGGGGGAGGGAGCAAAAGAGGGAAGGAGGAAAGAGGGTAGGAGGGAGGGAGAAGGGGAAAGAAAGGAGAAGCGACAGAGGCGATGGAGACTGTGGGAAGGACACCGAATTTGACGGGGCTTTGGTGAGTGTTTACGGTGTCACAAAGTTTGATGTGGTTCGTCTCATTACCTATTTCCTTCGCGGGTGTATGGTACCCATTCGGAAAATTTCTGGAATTTTCTACGACAGGTGTGCGGGGCCAACGTGCAAGTATGCTGGGAGAAAGGTAAAGGCTCCTGGACTCATTAGGCCCTTGTCCTCCGCTCCCTTCCTTACCCCTTTGTGCTTACACACACCCCCTCCTTCGTCTTTATCACGTCTCGTAAGGCAGACTTCCTCCATATTCGTCTCTTCTTCCGCTCAATCCTCTTCCCTCCCCGTTTCCCTTTCCTTTCCTCCTTTCTTTTTCGTCGCAACCCGCAGCCATGCGCTATTTCGAGGTGGAAGAACGCTTGGCCGACGTGTCTCCGGATTGCTTGGTTCTGACGGCGGAGCGCGCGAAGGCTCTGATCGATGAGAATACGATCGGCGTGTGTCCCATCCTGGGGAGTACCTTCAATGGGGAATACGAGGATGTCCAGGGTAGGGAGGGAGGGAGGGAGGGAGGG